TAGGTTTCAGAGGCTGTAAATTGCATGGGATGAGATTGTCCATCTCTCTCCTGGGGAACAGAGAGTATATTAGAACCACTTGCCTTTGCATTGGCAGCACAACTTCTTACCCACTAAGCCACAGGAGCTCCCTTCACCATGTTCTAGGGGCAGGAAAAGATCTCCCTGAGGCCTGGTGTTAACTGTGCAATGGGAGAGGGCCAACCTCTCCTTCCTCAGATTTGTATATCCTGAAAGTAACTGCCAACATTACAAAGGCTTCCAAGAATGCCTGTGGTTGGTCCTGTTCACACTGCACAGAATTTCCTAATATTGGTGTTTTGCCATCTTGTAAAAAGAATGTGTAGGGGAGCTCAGAAAAATGAGACTGAGAAATCTACTACACTTCATCTTATATTCATGTGTTTCCCCCAATTTCTCCTCCCTGGATGTGTAATGAGTACAATATTTTGTAAAAATTTTGCTAGACTGTTATTTTTTGCTGTTGAGTCAATTCCAGTACATAATGATTCTCTATATAGAATAGAACTGCTCCATAGGATTTTTAAGGCAATGACCCTTTAGAAGCACATCAGCAAGTCTGTCTTCTGGGTGGATTTAAACCACCAACCTGTGCTTAACTGTTCTTGCTTCCCTTTAAAAAGTTATTGATAAATAACTACTACCTGTCCCTATCAGGTTTTGCTTTTTTTCATATGCTTTTGTTATGTGCCATCGAGTCAATTGCAACTTGTAGCGACCCTGTGTACAACAGCTCTGAAACCTGCTCTATCTTGAGCCAACCTCATTGTCTCTGACACATCTACTCCCATTACCCCAGTCACTGAGTCAATCCATATCATCCAAGGTCTTCCTCTCCTATACTGTCCCTCCACTCTCCCAAGCATGGTATATATCCCTCTCCAAGGACTGGTCCCTCCTGGCTACATGCCCAAAATATATAAAACACAATTTCAAAATCCTTGTCTCCAAGGAGCAGTCTGGTTTCACCCTCTCCAGGACAAACCTGTTTGTTTTCCTAGCAGTCAAGGGTATATTCAATACTCTTCCCCAGCACCACAGATCAAAAACATCAAATCTCCATCTGTCATCCTTAGTCATTGTCCAGCTTTCTGATGCATAGCAAGTAATTGTGAAGCCCATGGCCTGGCTCAGACCCATTTAGTCTCTAGACTGACATTATTTTTCTTGTATGCATTAGCTTATTTCCCCTACCAATTAATTTATGTTTTTTAATTGTAATTCAGTTGTCAGTAAACTATTTTAAAAAAAGAAGAAGGAAAAAGATAAAAGATGTAGTTTGTTATCACTAGCAGAAAAGGAATGTTTATGAAGGTCCTGCTGTATTGTCTACCATTTTGCCAAGAATTTGATGTACAAATATCTGTAAGAAACAACAAAGGATTAAAGACTGAGCAAACAGTCCCTAACTCATCTATGTATACTCTGGCATCGTCCCTGCAGATAGGAGGCTGAATTCTGGCTGTGACGCTGTCATGACTGATGTGAGGTGACACTGCACGTCACTTGCCCTCTCTAGAACTGTCTTTCCTAATCAGCAGAATGAGAAGTTCCAACCAAACCTTTGCTACTTGTAGAATGAACCTTACCTCGGAGTTTGTTAAAAATACAAGATCAAGTATGGCCTTGGGAATCCAAATCCGCATCTTTAAAGGCATCTAAGTAAATAATGGACAGAGTACCATTTGAAAAGCATTAAAGTGGATGGTCTTGATGATCCCTTACCAAAGTTTGGTTGGTCTAATATTTCAGGGTTGAAGTAGTGGGGAATGAGAGATTAAAGAAGAAAATTCTTCAGGTAAATACACCACAGCATAGTCCTGTGTAGGTGAAGTGTGTCTGCTTTGCTGTACCTTGTAATCTCTTAGTATCCCTGGACTTCTCTTTTTATTTTCCAGATTCGCTTTATTGTGGAACTTGTGTGGCCTTTATCTTTATTTCTGGTCTTGATCTGGTTGAGGAATGCCAACCCTCTGTACAGCCAACACGAATGTACGTATGAGGGGGGAGGCTTTGGCAAGCACCAAGGAGACCAGCCGTTTAGTTTGAAAGCTGTCGGGGGTAGAGGCCAGGTTCTGATCTGCTTATCATCCTTTCATGTCTATCATGCATAAGACAGAGATTCATCAAAGTTACACAACGTGCAATATTTTAATCCCATCCAGTATGTATTTTTGTGTGTGGTTACTAAAGGATTGTAAAATCATTTTTCTTTTTATTTTTCACATACTTGAAATCAAGGAACTCTGGTGGCAATGGTTAAGCTAACTAAAAGGTTCAAATCTGCCCTCTGGTGTAAACTATAGCCTAGAAAACCCTGTGTGGCTGTTCTGCTCTGTTTCATGGGATAGCTAGGAATCTACAGCTGACTAGATAGCGCTGTAAACAAAGCACAAACTTACTTGTTTTCACGGAGAAATATTGTCTAAAATATTTTGAAGACCAACATTGTCCCATCCATGGGGTGATGTATTTCCTTTCTCTTCCCTCTGTACTCCACCTGTATCTCTATTAGCATATTTTTTCCTCTCTAGAGGACATTCAGTGACTGGGATAATTGGGATGGGCATGTCAGAGACAGTGCGATTGGCACAGGACAGAGCGGATTTTAGGGCTGTTGTACATAGGGTCGCTATGAGTCACAAGCGACTCGACGGCACATAACAACAACAACAACAACAGACTGGACATTTGAGGGAAGAAACAACCTAGTCTCTAGCACCCAGTGCAGGATATATAACAGAGGCCCCTGATGTTTAAATGCTATGACTAAGGAGAACAGCAGAGGTATCTGGGTTCTTTCTTGAAGGGATACTAGCTCCTACATCTCACGTGGTATCAATGACTAACTCCTTTTTGTCTTCATTTCTTGTTTAAAGGTCATTTTCCCAACAAAGCGATGCCCTCAGCAGGAATACTGCCATGGCTTCAGGGGGTTTTCTGCAATGTGAACAATCCTTGTTTTCAGACCCCCACCCCAGGAGAAGCTCCTGGAGTTGTGTCAAACTATAACAACTCCATGTAAGTGTTTGGACTCCCACCCAAAGTGGGAGGAAATTGTACACCCCTTTACTCTTTATAATGCACCAGAGCACATGTGCCTTCCCTCACAGAGCATGTATGTACTCAGCATTTTCATGGCATGCTAATGGTTGTCCTCTCTGGGACATTCATTTCGATGTTTGGACCACTCATGGAGAGAGCTTCAGCTGAAGATCACATGGACACAGCTTTTTTTGTTTTTATAATCCCAAGATGTGTGCTTGACACTGGTGGTATTCTCTCTCCTCAGACAGATCCACCAGACCCTGGCCATCCATTGCTTTTAGTGTAGCTGGATGAGAAAAATTCATTTCCCTTACCCTCTCCCCTAGGTCAATCCCAGGAGATCCTGACTTCCTTTAAAATCTTTATTGTTCATCAAAGGACTAATAAAAATCTTAGGGATGTTGAGACAATGAAAGAAATTCAGTTTACAAGGTGGAACTTGCTTTTAAAAAAGCAGCAGCAAATGCCAAATTCTGTGTTAAAATTGCTGTAACTCCCTTGGGTGACAAAATCTTAAAGCATGGTTTGGAAGTAGTGATTTTTAATTCTGTGACATAAGCCCTGTCATAGAAGTTAATGAAAATGATGGCCCTCACCTGAAAAACTTTATAATTGAGTTATTGTTGTATTTGTTGTTATGTGCCGTCAAGTCACCTGTGACCCATAACCACCCTATGTACAGCAGCTCTGAAGCCTGCCCTGTCCTGAGCCAGGCTCACTAATTCTGACACAACAACCCCCATTTCCCCAGTCACTGTATCAGTCCATCTCATCTGGGGTCTTCCTCTTCTGCATTGTCCCTCCACCCTTCCAAGCATTATGTCCTTCTTCAAGGACCAGTCTGGTCTCTCATGGCCACATGCCCAAAGTATCTGAGACTGAAATTAAAAATCCTAGTCTCCAAGGAGAGACTTGGTTTCACCCTTTCCAAGACAGACATATTTGTTTTCTTGACAGTCCATGGTATGTTTAAGACTCTTCTCCAGCACCACAACTCGAAGACATTGATTCTTCTTCTGTCATTCTTAGTCATTGTCCAGCTTTCTGATGCATAACAAGTAATTGTGAAGACCAATAACTGAGAGGAATTTTAAATCAAATGCCTGGAGAATAGAAGCTATCGTTGAAATTCTTCTTCAGGGAAAAAGAAATAGGAAGTAGGTGATTAAGTGTGTTCTTGAGTCACAGCTGATGAAGCCCAGCACAAGGGTCACCAACCCAAATAGGAGAGTAGGTGGGTTACAGAAATATTTGGCCACTCTAGTTATTTCCATGGAGTAACTCCAGAAAATGCAGGACAAATCTGATTTAGATTTTGATAAAGGAATATTGAGTAGGTCACAGCCCAAGGCTCAGAGGAGGCCTTCTCAACTGGAAACAAACTATGGATGCTTTTGCCCTAAAATGTAAAATGACAATTGAGTTGTAACAGAGACCATGTGGCCTACCAGCTTATAATATTTACTGTCTGACTCTTTACAGAGGAATTTTGCTGGCCCCTGGGTTATAGGAATACAAAAGAGGAGTGTCTCCCCTTAGGAGAAAGAGTAGGGAGCTGGTCTCACATTGCTACAAATGGTGCCTGGATGATTTACAATCTACACTGTCAACTTGGAGTTCCTTGAAGGCCCTGAGAAGAAACAACTAGCCATTCAGAAAGACCCAAGGAGGCCTCCTGGTAGGATCAGGGGACCGTTGGAGACAGCTCAGCAGGGGCTAGGCGCAGCTTTGGCAGTGCTAATGTTGCCTGTATTTGAAGTTATGACAGAAAAAGTTTGATGATTGGGGAAAGGGAAGCCTATATTCCAGCTGTGCTTGAACCACAGCATCTGGATTTTACATTTCATACTTTAGAGTTGAAATAGTCAATTATCCAGTATTCTTTTTTCTTTTTTATTACAAGATACAGAACCCCATTCACCCAAACTTAAGACTCTGAAATGTGTGATTTGGATCCTAAAATACACAATTTCTCAAAGATCCCAGGATAGTAGTAAGGCCGACCTCAGAAAGGGCAGAGACAAGGACTGGAGAGTCACCAAGAGTAGTGCTCTCAGTCCTCTGTTATCTGGGCTTCTTCTTCTCTCTGGCATCCACTCCACTCACTGGACCATCTTCCTGCTTCTCTGTATAGCAGGCTGGCACAAGCCACCCAGTTCTTGGCCCTTGAATGTGGGCAATCCAGAGAGCATCTCTGAATTCCATTCAGACTCGGGAGAACCAATCTGGTTGGCCCAGATTTATTCTCATCCAATCAGCTGTGGCAGAGATGTGGCCTTATGTAGATGTATGTGAGTATATGTGTTCACACACATGTGTGAGTGAGTGTATGAAAGTTTGACTGTTTATATATTTATATATATATAAAGGGGGAATGTATGAATGTAACCATGTGCTCGCATGTGTGTGCTCACATGCATGTGTGTGCAGGGGATGTTGTGAATTATACATAGCTGGCAGAGATTACCCATAAACACATGAAAGAACAGGTCCCAGAGAAGTGACCAAAGGCTAGGAAGATTATCCAATAATGTCTACTATGAATATCATCCCATTTAAAGCTTCCTCGGATAGGAGTCACATAGAGCATGGATTATTAGGTGACCAGGCCTTGCTAAAACAGGAAGATTGAACAAAACATTCTTTCTTCCTCTCCTACAAATATATATAAATATAAATATAAATATATATATATAATGAGGAAATGAAATATCCATTTTCTTTCCCTCTTGCCTTGGAAGTACTGTAAGGATATTGGAGCCAGGTGAACCACATGGTATTTTAAAACAAATAAACTATGTTTTCATTACCATTATTATGAAAATAACAACTGTTTCTTTGCTAATAAGGTTTGTCCTTACAGTCTAGCAAGAGTGTATCGAGATTTTCAAAAAATCCTTCTGAGTGCACCAGAGAGCCAGCAACTTGGTCAAGTTTGGACAGAGTTCCAGACCTTGTTCCAGCTCATGGAGACGCTCCAGACTAACCCTGAGAGGGTTGCAGGTATGCTGAGCTTCTTGTATTCAGCCATCACTTGCCTTCTCTTATTTTCACCCACCCATTATTGTGTTGTTAGATAGATGCAATTAGTTTTGACTCATACTGGCCCACGTATAATATAATGAAACACCACATCGTCTTGCATCATCCTCACAATCATTGCTATTTTAGAGCCCATTAGTGCAGCTACTGTCATCTCATTGAAGACCTTTTTTCCCTTGGCTAACTTTCTTCTTTGCCAGACATACCTTTCTCCATGGGCAGTCTCTGTTCCTCCTGATAGTGTCGTCCTTTCATATACATGTGACATGACTGAAAATACTATGGATTGGGCCAGACATGCCAGAGTCTCTCAGAGTGACATATTTGCTTTTGGGTGTTGTTTTTTGGGAGAAGACATGTTAAAAATTTTTTATTTTATATTGGTGTGCTTGCAAAGTTCATAAACATTGTGTTTCACACTATCCTTCATTCACATTGTGTTTCACACAGTCATTCTCATTTATGGTGCTTTATAAAATTAACCACCATTGAACTATGCCCACCATTAACCTATCTTTCTAGAACCTTGCTGGATCTTTCCCATTTCCCTCCCCCACCCCATCAAATTGTGCAACTCTGTGACTTTGCCCCTACCAACCCTCACCCCTCTGCTCTTACCTTCTCCTCTTTGGATCTTTATACATATTTTACTAGTTATCTTTCTACTTCCACAATTGAAGTATTTCAGATAACGGATGTTGCCCTGGACGTGCTCACCAAGTTGTGCCAAGAAATCTGGAGAACAACCACTTGGCCAACTAACTGGAAGAGATCTATATTTGTTCCCATTCCAAAGAAAGGTGACCCAACTGAGTGTGGAAACTACAGAACAGTGTCATTGATTTCACATGCAA